TTCCCAGGTAGCAAAATACCTGTATTTTCTGTAGTAAGTAAAATCTCTATTTTATAAAAGTATATCATCTGGTTATATTTGACTTCCAATAAGCATATAATGGCTGCATTTTTTTTTTAAGATTGCCTACTTGCCTGCCCATTACTGCCATTTCTGCTTGCCATGATCTGACCAGTGGGGGCGGGCTGAAATGTGTGAATCAGAATATCACTAACTCCTTAGCACAGGTACTTCTTGTTTTTCCTGGGTGTGTACAACTACTTTGAGTGTCTCCCTGGGTTTTCTTTCCACAGGGGATAATTGTTCTAACCGGTGTTATTATGATCATGTGCTATTTGTCACTAAGGGTGTTAGTGTGGTCAGCCTGCCTGCTTAGCAACTCTGTTGGTGACACTGAGGCTCTGGTAATTCTTCCTAATCCAGTCTTCCCTCCCCACCTCCCCTCCTTTCTATCACTTCTGTTCTTGGAGCATGCTCATGGACATTTCTGGTTTTGGTAATAGACCTTCTCGCAGGTTTTGTGTCAGTTTCACCTGATATTCAAATAGTACTTGTATTTGTTCATCTGCCCCCCCCACACTCTTAATTTTTTTTTTTTTTTGCTGCTAGGGATTTGAGAAGGGAGTGAAAAGGCACAAGTTTTTGATGTAATCTTTTTACAAGTTATTTTTTTAATTATTTCTATAGGGCTTTTTTTTTTTTTTAAAGATTTATTTATTTATTCATACAGAACTGAGGCATAGGCCAGAAGTATAGGGGCAGTGAGTGGATTCACCAGAGATGGAGTGGGGAGCAGAACAGGCAGAATAATGAAGTACACTGCTGAGGGGTGCAGTGAGCAAGTCAGGAAAAATCTGCAGCACCACCTGGGTCACCTCCCGGGGAAGGGAACAAACTCGTGCTGAAGCTGCTTCAGCTAGCTTTGCAGTGCTGTGCTTTAACCTGTTGTGCTACCAGGGAGGGCCCTATTTCTAATGAGCCTTTAAAAAATAGTTTCCCTTTGTAAAATCTAATTTGACTCTTTACATACCGCTGAGACATGATATTTAATTTTTTTTTAGCGTATTGGGACCCAAAAGTTTTTACAGCTTATGATGTTTTTCGTGTAAGTCTAATCACATCCGAGCTTATTGTACAAGAGATAGAAACACAACGAAATGGTGTCAAGGTTGTCTTTGATCTGGAAGGCTGGCAGTTTTCGCATGCTCTTCAAATTACCCCAACTGTAGCCAAGAGAATTGCTGCTGTTCTTACAGTAAGTGTATATTTTAACTGTTTGGAATAATACTTCTAAAGAATAGATTTAAATTTAGTCATATGTTGGAAAATTTAAAAAAATTTGGAAATGATCAAATACTTCAATACTGCCAATGAGTATGACTATTTCAAACAAGTTGGAAGCAGCTATGAAAATACGTTCAAAATTATTAACCATAGAATTTATACTTTGAAAAACCATAGAGAATTCATCTTTCTGTCTAAATTGAATTTAAATTAAAAGATTTACTCAAAAATAAAATGTATAGTAGTGGGTCAGTAGTTTGTAACACAGTCTTGGTTGTATAAATTAGAATAGTCTTTTCAGAAATTAAAATGTTTTTAAATGGCCATCATCTTTAACCTAGTAATTTTACTTTGGGAGCTTAGTTAAAGGATAATCTTAAAATAGTAAAGACTTTGTATATAATCATGAGAGATTACCATGTGCAGTAACTTTGCCAAATGTTTCAAATGCATAGCCACTTAGTGACCACATCAAGCCTATGATACCTGATTATACTTTTTCCCATTTTACAAATTAACTAACCATATCAGCGAGGTGAAATAGCAGTGTACAAGCACACACATTTGTCAGCAGTGAAGCAAGGATTCCAGTCCATGACACTTAAATGTAAAAGCTATGGTTATAACTAACTATCTCTGTTTCCTATCGGTAAAGATAGTTACTGCAACATCAATTTTAATACAAGGACATTTTAAACAGTTTGCCTGGAAGTTTAAAATGTAACAATATTAATTATGGTAACAATATTATAATGTTGAAAATAAAATCATAGTTTAAGTTCCCTTATAAGAAACATTTAAAAAGAGCTAACTTGCCAATATGAATATTATATATCTACTTATACTTTATTATTAATAATATTTCTTTATTTTCAAAAGGATTCCTTTCCACTAAAAGTTCGTGGTATCCATTTGATAAATGAGCCAATAATTTTCCATGCTGTCTTTTCCATGATTAAACCATTCCTGACAGAAAAAATTAAGGGACGGGTAAGTAAAAATATACTGAAGTCACTATCCTACACTAAACATTCAATTCAAAAAGAATAAAATCATTTAATAACTTTTGAGTATGCATCTGAGAAGACAACTACTATTATAAATTAAAATTTCTTTTTAATTTTGAAAAGTCAAGTTAGAGAGACGTGGGGAGATTGTGTTCTTATACATTAATGTTGGGGATGTACAATGGACTACACCCTCTAGACTGTGTAACAATTGTCAGGAATAACAGTCTTCACACTTTTGAGAATTTTATGGGAAAACTGACGTAAAAGTAAGTCTATATATGCAAGAAGACTGTTTAAGTGTTTATTTAACAATGACACATCCACACAATGGAATACGAGAAGATATGCAAAATGTATTGTAAAGAGAAATAAACGAAATGTAGTACAGTGTTTATAAAACACTGTATAAAAAGGGGAGATATCAGAATCACCAGTTAGTCAATTTTGTGTAAAAATTACATTAAAGGGATTTACAATAAAGAAATCTATGTTGCTACCTGCATACATCTGGTAGGGGTATGGGTGGAGGGGATGGGAAAAGCATTGGGAACAGGATATCTCACTCTGTGTCTTTTATTTTGTTTCAATTTCTAGTGCTAAGACTATATTGTTTCTGTCAAAAGTTTTTGTTGTTGTTTTTTAGACATGTATAATTGCAAAACTACAGTAGCTGAGGTATGTGACTTAATGCCATATTAATTAAAGCAGAGAGATTTGATGCCTTTTTTTAAAAACCTATTCCACCTAGGCTTATCTTAAGTGAATAGATTAACTCTCTTAGGGTTTCTCAAGTGTTAAAAATAAAGCTTGGATTTCTAAGAATGAAAACCCGGTGTTCTATATTAAATCTGTCACAAGGAATTTTTAAAGCATTTATTTAAACAAGAATTCCCAATATTTAATGTCTGAACACAAAACAGTTTTTAAACTGTTTTCAAAGGCTTTGGCAATTAACATCTCAAAATTCTGTACTTATAAATAGTAATAATGTGAGCGATAATAGCATACTTGGAATTTTATAAAACATTGCCTCTCATATTAAGAAAAATGTAACATCTTGCACCTAATCAGAAAGTATAATGATAAAGCTCTTTTGGGGTTACCCAGTAAGTATTTCTGCCTGTTTTTAAGAAGACTGTCCATCATTCTGTATTCTTATAAAAGCCTTTTTTTTTATTTGTTCATATTTTTCTCTTTAATATTGCTCAATAATTGCTAGGCACAACCTCTTTAACCCTGAGAGACGTAAAACAAAAAATTACTATTTTGTGTTACATTCTGTACAAATAAAAATAAAACCAACAATTAGCTAAAGCTAATAAATATTAGAATACAAACAAGTAGGAAATAAAAATTAAAAATAGAGATGTGAAATATCTTCATGGAAGTTAATTGACATGAAAGAGAGTTGTCAAAATGGGGATGGATATCCACTATACCCACTTTTCTCCTTTCAGCACTTGGCAATACATTATGCATGTTCTAATTTGCCCTTACCTGAGAAGAGAGAATTTTCTCTCATTTAGCTGGTAATATTTTTTTTTAAAGATTTATTTATTTGTACATACAGAACTGGGGTACAGGCCAGAAACGCGGAGGGTGAGAGGATTCACCAGAGACAGAGTGGGGAGCAGAACAGGCAGATCGAAGAAGTACACTGCTGAGGGGAGCAGCGGGCGGGTCAGGAGAGGTCTGCCACGCCATGTGGTCACCTCCGGGGCAGTCGGGAATCGAACTCATGCGGAAGCGGCTTTAGATTCTCAGTGCTGTGCTTTAACCCGCTGCGCCACCAGGGAGGGCCTAGCTGGTAATATTTTAAAGCCTTGAAAAATATCAAGGATTTGGATTCAGAAGTGACTAAATACAGAGCAGTTGTTTTCATTCCTCTTTTAATCTTCATATCTTAGCACAGAGTAGGTGCTTATTAAATGATTGTTGAATTTGCAGGTGAGTATCTGTTTTTGCAAAGAGAGAAAAGCTACTTATTCTCTCTCTCTCTCCCTACCTATCTATGGCAAAATGTCCTTTTGATTCAAGGTTACACCCTTTGTTTTAACTTCATGGCATTATATGATCAACTTATATAGTTTAAAATATTTGAAAATTTTAAGTCTTCAACCATTGTAATTTACTTTTAGTTTTGTACTAGCCAAGAAAGTCCATCAACTTTGCCCTATAAATTATTTCTCATATACCTGTGTGCTCAGATAATTTAACTAATGCCAGTGAGTACAATTTGATCTTCTACAGAATAAATAAGAATAATTTGTAATATGGTAGATATTTTGCTAAGAATTACCTTTCTGCACATTAGTGAATAGGATGTATAAAATAATTTTATCATTTTAAGAATCTACTTTTGAAGAAGAGAATAGCGTTTTTTAAAACAAGTCTTATGTAGTTATAAGAAAGCAAATATAAGAAAGCACTAAGTATCAGATTTATAAACAGCATAATCTAAGTATAAGTAAAAATTTTAAATCTATGAACAGGCAAATAAACGATATAATACGTATAAATCCCTATCTTGGAATTATTATATAGATTACCTTTTGCTCTGGTGATTTCACATTGGAAATGCATATCATCTAAAACATTTTGGCTATTTCAGATTCACATGCATGGGAGCAATTACAAACAAAGTTTACTTGAGCATTTCCCAGATATTCTTCCTCTGGAATACGGCGGTGAAGAATTCTCCATGGAAGACATTTGTCAGGAGTGGACAAATTTTATAATGAAATCTGAAAATTATCTCAGCAGCATTTCACAGACCATTCAATGAAAAGCTACTTAAATGAATGGCTTCCTAAGAAAAATACAGGAGTAAGAGTCTACTTGGTTACATGAATGAAAAATATTCCACTAAACTAAATTAATCGGATGAATCTTTAAAATTGTAAAATGTCAGATAAATTCTGGGCATTTGGGAAAATTCCTTTCCCTTTAAAATACATTTTCTTAAAAATATAAGAATCCTGATTTTTGCATAAAGTGACCTTTGTTCCTGGAAAGTTTCATTTTTAAAACAAATTCTTTGTTTATGATGGTTTAGTAATAAATTTATAAATAATCTATTGAAAATAAATATTAGCACAAATAAGTTGATGAGTAAAATGTGTTAAAGCTGTCGTGGATGTCATATGAAACTATAGCTTAGCTTAAGTTTTTACAGTTATAAAACAGTTCATCTCATCTCAGGGAAACTCTGTTTTAGCACATATGCACAATGGAACCTATTGATTGAAGTGTCTATATTCTGTAAACTCATATGTAATAGCTATGGGTCTCTGAAATTATTGGCATATTTGATAACAAAAAATAATTTAGAAAAATTTCAGGTACAGTTAATGACTTCTTAATACTGTCTCTGCATTTTCAAGACTGTCATTGACTTCTATTTTTGATTATTGTCACAGCTACATGAAGATTGGGAAATGGGGAAATATTTAGTTGTCTTAAACAGGAGCTCTATTTTTAATTTGGCGATAACACAACTTCACAAGACAAAAGAAAAGTTCACATTTTTTATCAATGTCAATTATATATGGAACTTTTCCACAAATACAAATAATGCATAAAATAATTTGAATTTTATTTTTATAGACTATTTATCAGAATATTCTAACCTAGTCCTACAGTTCATATTTACTTAAAAATTTAAGTGGGCTATATCTCACTGTTAAATAATGCTTCATTTATGGAGAAAATATAAACTGTCTTCGTTGAAAATGAAATTTTCAACTTAAGACATTATGTTTATACTTAGTGTTTTAAAATCTTATTTTAAACTTTAGCATGAAAGAACACTGAGTACAAAATTTGTTAAACATTTTCTCAGCTTAGTTGGATTTCACTAACAATCACATTATAGTAGTTTTGTGAAAGGATATGTAAAGTGTGCTTTTCTTTATAAGAAACTGATCCTAATTAGGTGAGCTGATACTTACGATTCTCTGTATGTATCTCTATGGTACAAAGTAGTTAATTGTAAATGTTCATTAGTAGTTCATTGTAAATGTTTGATTTTGACTTAGCATTGGGAAGCTAACTTTATAATTTTGATTAAAAAATTATACTATGCCATTTCTAAAAAAAACTTATTCTTTATAACTAATATACAATTTAGAATTGTATAACTAAAAATAACAACAGAAAAAATTATTTTTTAAAGTGAACAATAACAAAAACTCTGGTTTATTCAAGTTTTATTCCAAGGACTGTATTACTTAAAATGCTTAAAACACTTTCTTATGATTCTATAAAGGAGTGGTTATTTTAGCTAATCGTAAGGGATAATATTTTGAAGTGCCTTTTAAATGTGACTTATTGATGATGCTGATAACAGTAAGTAGAATTAAAATAAATCAATCAATGAAAGTGCATTTCATAATGCGACATTGAAATTTTTATAAAATACAATAATTTACTGCAGAACATTACAAGAACAATGTGGAATGAGCAGACAACTTTATAAGGTGGCAAGATCAATAATATCAAACTGTCCATATTACTTTACTGTAATTTGCTCCCAAAGTGCCTTTTAAAAGATTAACTTGATCATGTACTTATGATGTTAGCAAACTGCACAATAATCGTATAAATATTGTTCCAAAGGAAATAAAGATCTTTCACATAACTACAACAGCTTGTCTTTCATTTTTAAATTCAAATATTAGGATTTCTTTTCAAAAACTGCTTTTCTTTACTAAAACATTTAAAAGAAACTTATCAATCTAGTACCCTGACACAGTTAATCAGATTATTTGATTTTGAAACAACCAGCTACTAGCCTTGATTAGGGTTTTGTCAAGGTACATATTTTTCTTATAGAAAAGACACCGAAGTCCCATAGATATATCTTTGTCCCTCACAAACCAGGTCAAACATACAAACCAACCAAAAACTCAGCAAACTAGTGAAATGTGTTGTCTGGAACTCTTGTTACTGGCCTTATGTGTTGAAAACTCAGGTACAGTGGAGGAATGATAAAGGTGTAAAAATAAACTGTAAAGCTGATAAGGAAATAATGGCAGTGAAATTAGCATTGTAAGAACATCTCCACATGTGTTCTGGATCATGGACACATGCCATTCTTCCCCACCTCCAGACCTAGTCCTCGATTACTGCTTTCTTCTCTATCCAAGTCAATGATAATAATCCATTAAGTATCTACTTTTGATAACACTGCACATGGCTTTGAGTGAATTAGAGAACTGAAAACTCAACTAGCTATTATTAGAGGAGAGAAGACATGTATTCAGAATAGCCAGGCAAACTATGGCAGCATATAACGGTGTTTACAGTAATTCCATAAAGTGCTTTGGAAGTTTAACAGAAGGAAAGAATTTTCATTTGGGGGTGATTGAAGATGTGTTCTTAGAGGAGGTTCGATTTGAAGCAGAATCTTTAAGGACAGATTACTTCTTCCAAAAGAAGCAGTAAGAACTAAGAGGAAGGACAATCCATGAAAAGATACAGCATGAGTAAAGACTTAGAGATGAGAAAGGATAGGGCATGTCTGAAAAATAAGAAATAGCTCCATAATTTCAGCAAGAGGGGATTTGTACTAGAGAATGGTCCTTTTGTAACAGGGTGGTCCCCAGGATAAAAGGAGGTTCCAGGTTCCCTGTACCCACCAAAGGAAGGTGGAGCTGAGCAGGGAGGAGAGGAATCTAGAGAAGAATCTGAAGAGAAAAGAAGCAGTATGGAGAGCCAGAAGTAACCTGAGGAGCCACATGGGGTAGAGGCATGGGAAGAAGCAGCTCTTATTTCTTGGCCCTGGCCTGATTGAAACAGATGTGGGTGAGAGACACGTGGGGAGGTTAACTATGGCAGCATTTATCTTGATTTTGATTTTGCTCATTTTCTCCCAGACTCTCACTGTCCTGTAACACTTTGTCTAAAAAGATCCAAGTGAAACAAAATATGAGAGGCCCTGAATGACTGCTGAAGGTATTCAAGATGTGGATTCCCTATTATGTGCCAGTCACTACATTACACTCACATAGATATCTTGTTCAGCCTTTGCCAAAAACATGAGGTACATGGCACTATGCCCATTTTTACAGAAGAAACCCTGTTACAGGACAACCCAATGTGAATTTACATTGGGTTGCCCAACTGTGGATCCTCACCTGTGTGCTAAAACAGACTTAAAAGATTCAACTGCAGGCACACACATGAAGTACTAATGGGTCTATTTCCCGAACTCTGAAACTGTTCATTCCTTGCTCAGAATCATGGAACAAATAAATGCCAGAACCAGACTGAAGTTTGCTGGCCTGTCTGTAATGTCCAAGCATTGCACACCATGTTCCCAAGAGACCCAAATCCAAGTCCTGCCTGGAAATGTCTGATCCTGTCCTATCTCTAGAGGGAATCATCTCTCACCCAATCTGCAGCAATAGCCTCCTCATTGAACTACTGGTTGTTCATTGTTTCTGTTTTTACCTACCCCTTTTTCTACTGGGCAAGATCTTAATCCCCTGATCTCAGAGAGAATAGTGCTATATGCAGGATAAATTGAGGCCCACACCCAGATGCAGCTTTTCCATCCTGGCATTGCAGGACTCAACCCATACAGCTTTCCACCACCTTGAAAAACATCACCTCTTCCATGTAAGATACCTCAGAATCAGTATACCAAAAAGTGGAGCAGGGGAGGGTAGGGTGGTGAGGTGTGTTTTGTGCTGATTCTTTCTTCTGCTTTAAACCTTTTTTGCTTTCTCACTGCTCATCTGCTAAGTCCTGCTCCCTGCTCCTCTGTGGTGCCTTCTCTAGTCCTCTCCACTGAGGATTATTTGCTCTATTTGTGCTCTGGGTGGATACATAATATAGGCCCTATGCTACTAAATTTATAGTGGTTTACCTGCTTGTCTCCCTGTTAGAAAGTGCTTTTACATGCAGACATCAAATTTTTCATCTTTGTATAATCAGTCTCTAGTGTCTAACACAGGGTCACTGCACAGAATACAGACCCAAGTCAGGGGTATTTCTTCTTGCAAGGTTGGGGGGTAGCCACAGGGCCTGAGCAGCATGGTGAAGCCCTGCCTTGTGCTCAGTGGGAAACTTTCCTGGGAAGTTGGGTGGACTTCAGCAGTCTGCATACAGGCCCTTGGACTTGACATAATGCCTGTTTTTTTCTCTCTTACCCTAAATATTAGCCATTTTTCAATGATAGGGTCTTTGTAAAAAAATAATAAATAAATAAACCTACTAGGCTTTATTTTTTCTCAACCTCAGTAGATTTTCCTGTTTTAAAGATCTTATCTAATTTGCTTCCATTTGGAGGGGCACTTTTACATTTTAGTTTTTTAATCACACACACACACACACACACACACACACACACACACACACACACACACACACACCTCCAGAACAAAAACTGACCCTCATGGAATTTTTTAGGAGAATCATTAACCATTGTTAATTAACTATTAATAAATACCCCCCTTGGGATTTGTTTTTTGTAAAGGCCCCACTGCAGTCAACAAGAGCTATTTTGGTGGGTTTCCCACAGCAGAGCTAGGCTGTGCTCCATACTCCTCTCTCAGCAGCAGAAGTGATGTGAGGGGGCAGGTCTGGGGTGGGTAATCATCAGGCACCTTCTTTGTATTCACTCTTCCCTCCCTATTGCTCAGTTTCATCCCCTCAGGACTCAGTCCAGCCTCCTTTGAACAGCTTCCATCCCTCTTCTGAAATTATCTGAGCCTCAGTATTACCTAAATTCTGAATGTAGATGACCTTTGTCTTCTGCTCAGTAATGAGGATTAACACTCACTATTTTATCTTCCTGTTCTTGCCCACAACCCTCAGGTGACTATGACAAGAAAAGAACTTTATTTCTAAAAGGATTAACATAATTATTAATTTCCCTCTTCCTAATATCAAAGAGACAGTCAACTAGTCAACTAGTCAATTCTGAGGGTTTCTAGGATTAGCTGGCTATTGCCAGAATAGGATTTCTAACTTTGCCATTGATTCTCCTTCATCCACAGTAACTAAGCAGACTGTTCCTGCATCCCCTAATTGGTCTTCATGTCTGAATTTTAAAATCTCAAACACTTTCTAAGCTCTTCTCCTATTCTTAGATTCAACAACTCAAACCTCTTCCCCTTTTTTTAAATTTATTTTTCAACTTAGATAATACAGTTGACAATACAGTATGTAATTCAAAACTATAGGATCTCCATCTTGAGGTACCATTACCAAGTCACATCCATCACCAAGACACCCATAGTCTTACATCATTGTCCATATGTTCCCTCCCCACTTTGTTCATTCCTTTCTCTCTCCCCATTCCAGTAGCTTCATTCAGTTCTATAGTTGGATCAAGTGAAAATGTTTTCATTTGATTTTGCCTGACCCTTTGTTTTGTTTATGTTGATCATGAGTAAAACCATCTGATACGTGGATTTCTCCTCCTGACATTTTTGCTTAACATAAAAAAATCCCCTCCGGTTACATCCATGTTGTGGCAAAGTGAAAGAGTTTATATAGAACACCTTCCCAGACCACTCATCCTGGATGCTTAAGATTGTTTCCATAACCTAACTATTATAAAGGGGACTAATAAGACATCCCAAGACTGGGTGTAACAGGACCAGATTCTGGAAGAAGAACAATGAAGATAAAGGACTCTAAGATAAGGGCTGGGACACAGAGACTTAGTTCTGGGCACAGAGACATTAGGGCAGTGAGTGAGACCAGGAGAACTAACCAATCACAGAGAGACTGGGTGGAGTTTTAGATTAATTAGGAAAAGGTCTAGATTCCCTGAGACTAGACTCCACTTGGGCTCCCTTGCTCCGCTGGGAGTCACACTTTATTTCTGTTCTTTTTCTCTTTGATAAACTTTTTCTTTCTCTAAACCAATTTGCCTCCTTGCTTGCTTGCCTGAGTTGCCACAGTTCCTGCTGCGGCTTCATGGGACACCAACCTGTGGTGTTCTAGAGGCTGTGGCTCAGTGCTGCTCCTGCAGCCTGGGATCAACACATTCTTAGCTGGGACACTAGGACTGAAAACCTGACATTTTGGTATCATAATTAATACTGCAATGAACCTAGGAACTTGTGTTTTTATCTTCTTCAGATAGATGCTGTGAGGTGGGATTGCTGGATGATAAGAGGAGATCTATTTTTAATATTTTGAGATACCTCCATACCGTTTTCCATAAGGGCCGAATCGGTCTACATTCCCACCAAATAGTGTAAGATGGCCCCTTTTTCTCCACATCCTTGCTAACACTTGTTGTTTCAGGTCTTTTTGATACAGGCCTCTTCCACAGGTGTGAGGTGATAGCTCATTGTGATTCTGAATTGCATTTTCCTAATTATAAGTAGTAGTGAGAATTTCTTCAATTGCCTGTTGTCAATTGAGTTGTTGAACTTGGTTATCAGCCCCTTGTCAGACAGACAGTGTGCAAATATTTTCTCCCATTCAGTACTGACATAAAGGTGACTGATTTCCCAAGTTTATGACTCTACAAAGTGGTCAGGTTTCATCCAAAACAACAGAGTAAGGTCACTTACAAGCCCAAATTTCAGTCCTCTCCTATTTTCCTTTTGTATCCTTCTTGTTATGCTATTTATTTTTTTAAACCTCTCTCTGATATTGAAAACTCCTTGAACCAGATCTTCTGTTTTAAACTTTCCCCTGCCCCCTTTCTATCATTTCCTTCTTCACTAGTCCTCATCTTAACTACATTCAGGACCCCAGAACCTTTGGATGGGTTTTGAATTGATGATTCAATATTAAAGTTTGTCTCAAATTATTGCTTTTGTTTTTTCACCCTTTCCTTTCAGCTTGGGCATTGTCACTAAAACCATTTTTCCCTTCTTTCAGACCTCCAGATATCAGGTTAGCAATTTTCCCCACACAAATCAGGATATTTTTCCTATATTTTATATCAGTTAAATATAAATCTGAATGCAATCTGCATCCTTTTAGAAAAGATCATGTTTATTTTTCTGCAGCTTCACAGAGGGATATTCTAGGTTCTGCTTGCTGTCAAAAGCTCTTTTCTGTAACTATTCATGTTCCCACAGAAAACACAACCTTCCATCAAATAATCCCATCAAAGGGTGCTGCCATCTGGGGGAATTAAAGTTTTGCATATGGAAATGTCCCAGTCAGGATATTGTCTTTATTGTCAAACCCTTTTCACAGCCTCTATGTGGGAGCAAGGATAACCTTATGGCAAAAATGGGCTCATTATCCTTGGTTGCCCTAAAAGATACTTAATTATTTGTGGAAGCAGAGTCTATTGATACTTCTTACCTCATCAAACAGGCTCATGTTACCTGATTAATAGTTATCAGATGTGTAGCCCAACCAGCTTTTTAAACAATTTAAATTTATGTCTTCCTTAATAACTATCATTGGTCTTGATAGCTCACTGGTTACTATGTTTCTTCAAAATGTTACAGCCAGTGCCAAAATATTACTGGGTTCCTCCTTTTACTGTGGGATCTAAAATACCCATGAAAGGGAAGCTGGGGTTGGATAGATCTTCAGGGCTTGACTCCTATATCTAATCACAACTGAATCATCCTTTTACCTGGAGCTAAAACTCTTACTCCACCCCCACCCCCCCAAAAAAAAAACATGCTGTGAAAGACATATTTCTCTGTTCATTCATGTGAGCAGTCTCTAGAGTATATACTTACATATGAAAAGTTCTGAGTTACAGAATATTGCTTCTTCACTTTTATCAGATATTGCCCAATTGCTCATTTGTGTGTTACCCTTAATTTGCTAAGTTATATAGTTTTAAAATGGTAATGAAATGGAGCAAAACTGGAGGAACTGGGTTGACTCAGAGAGTAGGTTCTAACCTGTGCATGCTTAAGAATGCAAGACACACCAACAGACACAAAGTGAGAAATAAAACAAACATATTGGATTTATTTATACAGGGAGTGAGAAAAGAGAGTGAAAGAGAAAGAATATTTGGAGGATATGTGACCAGGTGACATCGATCCACTGCTCAGCAGAATCAAGTCACAGATAAAATTGCATATGTCAAGTTGGCATTTTCTCCACAGACACTCCTCCTTGCTAACAGCTTATGTTCAAAAGTCCCAGTAGCTTTCTAATGTCTCCAAAACTAGAGCTCCATCACCTGCCACTTAAAGGGTAGAGTCTGGGAAAAGTCCACCTTCTACCACTGACTTGGCTATGAGCACCACCCACTGGCTGGGAGGTTACATTTCACTGTTCTTACAATATCAGCAAATTTGCCAAAATGCTTTGGTTCTCCCCACAATGTTTTATTCTCTCATTACTATTTTCTTCTTCGTCTTCGTCTTCTTTTTTTTTAAAGAAGACATTGTTCAATTAATCATTGTACCCTCAACGTTTAGTGTTGATTGAGTAGATCTTCAAATAGTCTTCAACTTTATTCCAAATTTTAATTGGTCCTGATAGGTGGCAACTTTCATCTAATGCAAATGATGTTTATATATTTAGGTTTTCATACACAGAAAGAAAAATATTCTTGTTTTTACCTACTTTCCCAACAAAATGTGCCGAGGTATTCCAAATCTTGTTTAAAAATAGCACCTTTAAAGTACTTTTAGTGACTAGGAACCAGTCATCATTTCTGCCACGTTGATAGAGCAAACAAATCTGTGGTTGGTGCTAACAGTGAAGTTAGTAAATATGGCCCCTGGGTTTGGGCTGGAGCTGATCCTTCCTTGACATAACTCTAAAGTGAGTGAGACAAGTGTGGATGTGCCCACATTCACGGCCCTTCACTTTTATTCTCTTCCTCGGCATTTCGTTTCCTCCTGATAGCTCAACTATGAAAACAAATAGCAGGATGTGGAAATTACCTCCAAACACAATCTATCCTTACCTGACTGTTGGCATAAAGACAGGACTATGGCCTTTTAAGCATGAGTTACAGTTGGCACAAAGTTCTCAGAAGACTTTTAGAATCTCTAGCCAGCCTCCCTTGTTGCCTGGTTATCAGATTCGGTCTGGCCAGAACCAGCGGTACCCCCTGAAAAAGCCTGGCATGGGTACCCCAACTTAGTTAAAGGTATGTGAGGTTACAGCAATGAAACCCTTAACAGAGAAGTGAATTCCAAGGGCGCAGAGACCACGCTGTAGCCAAAAAGTCTTTCCCCAGTTCTCCGTTGAAGTCGTCGGGCTGGCGCGCAGGTCGTAAAAGGTAAAGGAGATACCGAGCAACGTGGTAGGAGCGACGTGGTCGGCCCCCTGACGTCTTGGCCTGAGCCGCCCGCCGCCTACCGACTGCAGCCGCGCGCCGGGACTACATTTCCCATAGGCCTCCGCGGCGTTGCGCCGAGCAGCCGGACGCCACCCAGCGGCCTCGGTAGCACTTAAGCTGCCGGCTGGCTGTGCCTTTGAAAGGCGGCGGGAGGCGGCGAGTACGATGGCGACCCTGGGCCGCCTGCTGTGCGTGCTGGGCCTGCTCCTATGCTGGGCGGCGAACTTACGCCTATCCGCTCACCGCAGCCCGATCGGGAAGAAGCCCATCATCGGTAAGAAGGCTGATTTGCGCTGCGGGCTGGAGATCGGGTGTCGGGTATGTGTGTGTGTGGGGTCTTAGCTTCCTGCTGCTGGGCTCCTGCTGTGCTTCCTGCCTTGGAAATATCCAAGTACTAAGTACGTGTGCCGTCAGTTCTAGCACTTGTAAGAGTGGAGGCCAGACACTCTTGTATAGTGCTGAAATGTCTCGGTGATTTGCTCGAGTTCAGGGGCTGTTCTGGTTGGAAGGTGGGAGGGTGCACTGTGAAGAATTCAGATTGTTTGGGACTTTGTACATTGCTAGGGATTTTGAATAATTAAACACATTGCATACATGTATTTATTAAAATTTCACTGACTGACAGCGTATTTCAAGATATAGTGCACTACATATACAAATAATGGAACTGAACTAATCAAGAAATTATGGTGTATCTTGGACTTTGTCATTTTCAGCGGCAGAGGAATCAGCAGCTAGGATGACCCTAATGTCATTTCGGCTTGGTGTTAAAGCATGCCAATGTTTGTTTTCAACAAATGTATGTTTTAAAAGGAGAGTAAAATCAGTTTGCATTTCCAAGACCCATCGCAGACAGGGCAGGGAAAAAACTGCCCAGGAGAAATCAGCTCAGAATTAAAATCAGCAGTTCTTGTGTACAGGCAATTAAGATGGTTTTATTTTAGCTGCAGTGTTATGCATTCATACTATTCTTTTCCTTCCACAAAGATTAGCATTGTATTCTGTAACTTAATAGAAAGTCTGTATTTTTTCATACACACACACACACACACACACATTGGTAGTTTCCAATTTTCAAATGGGCTGTAGATCAATATTTGGAACTTGGAATGCCTTAGGCCATAGCTATTTAAAATGGTGGTGAGACTCTCCAAGACTACTTAACTCACAATATAATTTTGTGGAATAGTGCATTGGGAATTACAGATGAATGGAGGAGAAAAGTAAAGAACATGGGGCTGGGGGACTTTTACCTTCTGTAGAAATAGTAATAGTTCAGGACCAAAAAGAAAAAAAAGAGAGAGAGAGAGAAAGAAAAATGGAGTATTTCTAGGGACTGTGATCGGTTAAAGAGCACCTGCTTTGCGAAAGGCATCGAGTTAGAAACTGCAAGGGATTCAAATATGAGGAACACACAAAAGTAGTGAGATGTCTTTAGAGTAGAGGTGGAATTTTGGTCTCATTTTGAGGGGCAGAGAATACAGTTTGAGCTCTTTTCCCACAATGGGAAGGTTGAGTATGTGTTGGGCAAGGTGAGGGTGAGAAAATAGTACAAACTACTCTCACGTGCTTTGCTCTTTTCTGATATTTTGTGTTCATGTGTTCCTTTGTGGCCTCTCAGCCTTCACTATTTCCTATAGCATCTCCTAATTTCTGCCTATCAAATTCCAGGTTCCTAAGTGAAGATGATTTTACCTGTCCACGAGGAGAGTATAGTCTTGTCTTACTGAATATATGTTGGTTCTTGGTTTATGTTAACCAAGTGATAAATGCTAATTATTGTAGGATGCTGGGAATAACACATGATTGTATATACAGCCATTCCTAACTACAGAGACTTTGAAAAGATTCCAAATAGTGAAGAAATGAATGATACTGGCATAGGTGTACTCTCTGGATAGACCTGTTTTGATGTTTACTGGATACCAGCCCTGTGCCGGGGCTGATGTTTCAGTGGTGAGAGGTGGTCAGAGAGTAGATAGGACAGAACAGTCAGGTCTCTTCAAGTTTGAGGGTTTGGAACCCAATGGAATGCTTGAACAAGGAAATGCCCCTTGCAGAATTGTTATCTCTCTGACCTCATTTCCTATTTCTCCCACCTGTCCCCTAAGGCTCTGGTATGTGGGCTCCTTGCACTATGTCCAACACAAACCTGACTCAAGTACTTTATCCTTGGTCCCACACCCTGGATTCTTCTTCCTCTCTGTATTTACATACAGCTTCCTTCTTTTGTCTACCAATGGTTTCTTTCCTCACCTTCCTGAAGTTCATGTTCCCGCTTCTCAGGGAGGACTTGCCTGGCCACCAACTTAAGAGACTTTCTTCCCCTCATACATAATTCATTTCTCCTTTCCCAATACACCTTCTTCTGTGTTACTTTTTCCCCATAGCATTTACCACTGGCCAATGCACTTATTCATTTTACATTCCTATCTTGCTTATTGTTTGCCCTCTCCTCCTTCCCACCCACATACTAGAATTAAAACACGCAGGGCAGGGATTTTTATTTGTGTGGTGCATTCATTTATTCCCTAAGTAGTATAGTGCTTGGAATATAGTATGACTCAGTAATATATTCTGAATAGATCAATGGTGATATGATCAGATTTCTTTCCGTAGAAGAACTTGTTGGAGTTGGGCGTGTTTTAGGAAAGAATGTAGGGAGAACTTTAAAAAGTTCTTCTTATAATAGTCTGGGAGTGGTGGCAGAGGATTGGGTTGGCTGTTTGGGTAGAAGATATTTCCACTCTTTTTGCCTTATTGTGCAGAAAATAATGTGTATTGTGTTGTGTGTGTGTGGGGAGGGGGCGGGGAGAAGAGATGAGAGGCCAGTTTCAGAATTTGATTGCTTCTAGGTTAAGGTTGCTTGACTAGAGACTGATGCTATTGAAATCTACTTTAGAGGCTTATTTGGAGAGAGAATGGGAGAGAAAAAGGAGACTACTGAAAACTCCAATCACTCTCTACTACTCTTTTCTCAAATCTATGGATGTACGTGCAGGAGAAGCTTCATATTTAATTTTGTGAATTAAACAAATAAAATAGTGATATTTTACTGTGATGTGCTTCTAAGCAAGAAAAATAGAAAATTGCTTAAAATTAACATTTGCTTTATAATTTAGGAGTATTAATGCAAAAGTGTCGTAATAAGCAGATGAGAAACATTGGAAGATACTATATTGCTGCATCTTATGTAAAGTACTTGGAGTCTGCAGGTGCAAGAGTTGTACCAATAAGGTATGATTTGATATCCTTTTACACTGTGTAAATAAAAAGTACTGTTTTATTTCTAAACTATCTTTTGTCTCTAAAATTGTTGCTCTTTCTCCTATGATAGCATCTTTTAACTACCATTAAAGTAGAGATTTTCATACTATTGTTTACATTCTATGTATTGTATGCATAAAGCTTTATGTACCTCTAACATCACTAGAGGTATGTTAATATATTAGATGTAAATGAAAGGATAGTTTCCTTTGCCTACAAAGTCGTCCTCATCAGAAAAAAAAAAAGAAGTTAAAGAGTCTACCACTTAAATAGCATTATTCTGTAATGCTGTTAATTGTTAAGGAACACTGACAGATTGAAGGTGATTTTTAGAAGATGACTTTTAAAATACCTTTACACTCTACTTCAAAAGTTTGTAAATGATTAATTTGGTAAGTTGTTTTCAGTGTAAATTGCAGGTATTGAAGACTTAAAGTAACCACTTTAACTATTATTTTTGTGATATTGACCCATAAATATAAACTGATTCCTCTCATATTTTTAGAGTTGAATTTTTTTTAAACAAAGTCTTAATGAATATTTGTATGTTGTCATCCAAAATATTTTAGAATCTAACCTATTATAATTGGTTTCACACACAAAACATACCTGCTTACTTTGGGCAAGCTGCTTTTGAAAATAATTCTGCATTAAAAAATGATAACAAAGAAAAGTATACTGTACACATAGAACATTAGCAATCAGAATAGAAATGCTACAATTTAGAGACTTGTACTACAAGATGACTTCATGCTTATGTTTATAAGGATTTTCTTCTTTCCTGCATTTTTACATTTATCCCTGATAATGAACATTTACTTGTTTTTGACAAATTAAACCAAAATTAAAATTTTAATCCTTAATTTCCTAGTGGCAATTTTAACTTTTCATATGAAATCTTATTTGGAATCCAGATCACGTGAAAATTTTATAGTTGAAGAAGTGGTTCCTGAGAGTTTTCAAAACAGTGTTTCAAAGTTTTGATCATAGAAGCATTTTCTGAATGCTTCATGCTTCATCAGTGCTGACAACATGGATGGGAGGAAGTAGAAACACAGTCAGGAAGACCAGTTTGGTGACTGTGGCAATGGGTAGGCAGCATGGTGAAGTGATGAAGGTTTGACCAGAGCAATGGTGGTGGGATTGACAGGGACATGTTCTTCAAAAAAATCAACAAGAGTACTACTTGTCATCAAGTTAATTGATGAAAGGGCAAAAGGAAGAATAGATCGATATTTTAATCCTGGAGGAGTTTTGAAAATAGGAAAATCTGACTTGCAGAAAACTGCTTTTTATAACGTGATGTTGATCATGTGACTGTCCGCATACAGGTTTATTTCCAGCATGGCTCTCAAAGTTCATCTAAAGCTATGTTGTTTGTAGCTACAATCATATGATCCCATAAAAGCAATGTGGTAATATGTGGCAGCTAAATTCCCAGAGTAGCCTGCAGAGGCTACCTAATATAGAGTGAGATTGGACTCACTCCAATATTGATAATGTTGGGTTTATTTCTGAATTTTGAATGCTGGGGCCAACTCTGTAGTAGGGCAAAAAAAGAGGATAGATATCTATGCATGATTTTGGAATAGGTGAGCAAATTTGTTCTTGTGCTCCTTCATCTTCCAAACAGGCCTATTGCTCAATGTTATTATGAGTTAGTTCCCACTTGTGGGAATCCCCACTGTGGGAATTCTTCAACTATAAAACTTTCACGTGATCTGGATTCCAAATAAGATTTCATATAAAAGGTTAAAGTTGCCACTAAGAAATGAAAGATTAAAATTTTAATTTTGGTTTTAATTTGTCAAAAACAAGTTAATGTTCATTATCAGGGTGTCCTTCTAAGAAGTGGCATATAGCAGCCTATGGACTGGTATGGGTTTAAAAATGTCTCTTTCACATTTTAAAAAAGTGTTTAAAAACACTTTCAATATTTACAAATCAGTAGACTTCAGAAAAGTCTGAATTTTGGCTTTTTTTTAAAAAAAGACAATTACCTGGAGCTGATTTTAAATGAAGTGTGTGCTCTACATTGTCAGCAATGCCTGTCTCTACTTTTCATGCTGCTGATGCAATGTCACCTGCCATCATTACCAGGGTTAAAAACTGTTTTCATCTAGTTAAAGAGAGAGTGAAATATTTCTCATTATCCTATTGAGAGGGTCTTTGGTTTTAAGAAAGTCTGACATCAGCAAATATCAGCTATAGTCAAAGAATGTGTCCTTGTTTTACCTGACATGCCTCTGAGGCACTTGAGTTTCTGACACTTCTCCTCTTCTATGATAATTAAGCTCCTAATAGTGATAAAAAGAATCTAGAAGTTCAGTCTTTAACAACTTGGAGCCATTTAGTTAGAATTAGTGAAGTGACTGAAATTAGCCTATTTGGCTAATGGGAGATTTCCTTGGAGGGTAGATGAGTGATCTAAATTCTTTTTGTTTCCTGATGTTTGTGGCTACCCATCCTGATTTAAATATCCAGAGGGAAGATTCTGAATCCTGACTAATGGGTTCCCACCACTTTTTTTTTTTTTTTTTTTTTTTGACAATATGGGAACTTGAACTGGCAGGATACTGGAACATTTAGACTCATTTCATCTTTCTGTCCCTTCTCAAGTTAGGGCCAATTGTCTGTTTATTCTTCACTCAAGATAGTGGTGAGCCTCGGTGCAGTATTACCCATTTCTTTGTGAGTGACTGCTAGAAAGAGGACCATTATGAACTTCTGAACATACCTGAACTTTCTAGCTTATTTGGACTTTGAGGGGAGAACAAATGGAATTACACATGTATCAAGAGTTTACATGAATGTAAAGTCTAAAGTAAATGAGACAAAACAGGGGTTTTTATCCAGAGCTAAGTGGGTTAGGGGCCTGGGGCTTAGGGAGAGAGGAGGAGTCATGTCACAAAAGTGCCAGATGATTTGTAATTATGTTTGCCCTGACATATAGGTTGGTTTCTCTGATTGAAAGATTATTTCAGACGATGACTCTAAATCTGTGTAGTACCCCCAGTTTTCTTACTTTTGAGTATATAAGGGAGTGCCAAGAAGTCTTAAGTCTGCTGGGCCTTAATTGACTTTAAATCAAAATAATCCACATACCGAAGCCACAACATCTTGGGAAGCCTGTCCCCGCATATTCCACTGGGATCCATTGTCACTGGGGAGCCCTGTATGAATATGTTAGGGAGACCTGTTCTTTACTGGCAAAATATATCCAGGTACTGTGCATCATAGATGTCTACTTAACAATGAGAGATGTCTTCTAACTCCACCTAAAACTTCTTCCTGGGGCAGAAAAGGATTATACTTTTTATTATAAACCTACTTTTGTGGCAGGTTGAAGTCTTGTTTCTTACAGGTACAGAAAACTGCTAATTGTAGAATTCTTGCAGGAATTTCAGAAGCATGATGCCTCATCCCTTGTTCTTACAGTTTGTTGAACTTTTGGAAGAACAAGCCCATTTTATTGTGATTTAAGTAAAGACTGTAGCCAGCTTCCACAGAGTAAACTTTTGGTTTTCTCTGGAGAAGGGAATAACATTAATAACCTGGTGATTGTTAGGAGCCCTTTACAGGACATTGGATAAAACATGTTTCAGAATAAATACCTGTGCAAAAACTAGGTTAGTCTGCAGTGATCTGTTTGTTGTCTGTCCTTAGATATGGACTCTCGATTTTTTAATATATAGTAGTTTCTAAATCTTTGCTGTTGGTGTTGGAGGTGGGACAAAGCTGGGACTTGGCATTTATCTGTATTGCTTTTATCTGCAAAAAGCTGCCTCTGGTTAAGATAGGAATGTTGACAGATCTCTTAGTCTTTACAGAAAATCAATGATTAGCCTTACATTTTTATATAAATTTACATTTTTTATATGTATATTTTTTCATAGTTCTTGGCTAGCAGAGAAATTACCAGTACTCAGATCTCATTGTCTTCAGTGTCTTGCACATTAAGCCATACTTCACAATGTTAAATTATATTAAGCCACAGAAAAACATGTTTATCTGTCTGATTAGCAAAACAAAGGTGACAATAATGTTGCTTTTAGGTAACATTTCAAGGGCCTTTAGGGAAATAGCAAGGTAATATTGCCTAATATTTAAGAATTGCTTTTAGTCTGTCATTTAAAAATTAATGCAGTGACTTCAGCTGAAGGCTTTTTTTTTTCTTGAGTTTTGGAAATGGATGTTTTGTAACTGTTTTTTATTGTTTTCAGACTTGATCTTTCAGATGAAGAGTATATGAAGCTTTTCCAATCTATTAATGGGTAAGTTGGCTGCAGTGGTTTGATATAAATGATGAGATCAATGTAGTCTGCTTTTGCAAAAAAGTACATGTAACTATTGTATATGCTTCTTTGTATTTATAGGAGTCATTTTTATTGAGAGATGCAGAAGTCTTCAGAGGAGGAAGATTGAGAAATAATTATTGCAGACAAACATAATTTTTAAAAGTGTCTGACAGAATTTTTGTACCTTTAGTGCTTGTTTATATGTTTTGAAGTCACATTGAATGACATACTATACTGCTTGCCATGGTTTTCTAATGTTAATGATCTTAGTGTTTATATAATAAGGAAATAGTTTTAAAACAAAAAAGATTGTTTTCTGGGAAGAAAGGGGCTGAAATGTACCTTGTTTGATATTATTTCAGGATACTTTTTCCTGGAGGAAGTGTTAACATCAAGAAGTCAGGTTATTCCCAAGTGGCCAAAATATTTTACGAACTTGCCATACAGGTAGGTGTCAGTTATGGCTTATTCCTGATGGGCTTTTGTGACTTTGCATGAGAATAATTCTTTTTTAAGCATCTGGCATTACTGCCTTCACAATTATGTAGTTTCATCACTCTTTTATTTTTGAGGTGCCTACTCTATAGCAGAGAGGGGTCCAGAGTGAACGGCTACTGAAGGAACAAGGAGTAGGTGCTTTGTTAGGGGGTACTGGGGAATGGGATAGAGAGGATGAGGGTGAACACAAGTTTTTCTCAGTGAGGAACAGAATCTCCCTGTGCTCCAAGTTTCTCATTCCAGATGAGTAACTGTTAGGTTTACTGTCTTGATTTTAGTCTCATTTACAGTCTACAGTAAAAACACTGGTCTTAGAAAAGTTTCAAAGCTCATTTACTTGCCTCCAAACATATATGGGCTTTTCTTCAGTTAACCAGAAAAGGCTGTGACTCAAATACTTTTCCCCAGTCATGCTAGCTGTTGTCACTCCTTTGAAGAAACCTATTTGTACTTTACTAGTTGACAACTTTGATGCTATGAAAATTTATTTTACTTTTGCTTAGCTTTTTCTTTATGGACTGTTCCTCTACTTCAGCCATCACTTTCACCTGACTTAAATATGGTTAGCTGAAGGTCACCATGCAGCTATTACTATACATTTTGAGATAATGGGGAAAAGACTTCAAAGTGTATTCAAAACTAAATGATCATCTAAAGTGGCAAGTTTTGTGCAAAATATACAAATAGATATCAATCTATCATTATCTTTAATACTTATAGTTCCCATTTGCAACTTTTGCAGTTTGATCGTAAACTGGCTGATATCAGTTTCTTTCCCAGTGCGACCAATTGGGTATTTTGGTTGATTAAAGCTGAATTATTATGTATGAGTTAGGTCTGAGTAGAGATTATCGGTCCTACATAATTCTGAAGATGTGCATGCATAATTCAAGTGCCTACCATATAATGATAAACTAAATGTATAATTTTTATTTTGAAAAGTTTGAGTAAACTTAGTTTTTTCTTTCACTCTGCAAAGAGTTTTGATGATGGAGACTATTTTCCTGTGTGGGGCACGTGCCTTGGATTTGAAGAACTCTCATATTTGATTAGTGGAGAGTACTTGTTAACTCACACAAACACAGTTGGAATTACAATGCCCCTGAACTTCACCGGAGGTAAGGATTATCTTTTTTGACCCTCTAAAAAATATTAACTGAGCAGATTATTAAGTAGCAGACATCAATGTCAAACATGTTCATGACATTGATTAACTTTTAAATTATTTACATAGGTTGAAGATCACTTTTGTGCTTAATTGTAAGAATTAAGGAATTTTAAATTTTCATGTCACTGCTTCTGGTGGTATCAGAGCTGGCCCCAAATGATTCAGAACTCTAAACTTAGACCTACTTTTTAAGTTCCAACTTTGTCACTGTTGCCTTAGAAAGCTTCATTTAATTTCCTGATTTTTCTCTCTTGTCTTTAATTTCCTGATTTGTTAAAGGGTCTGCTTCTTAGGGTTGTTTATGACGATTAAGTGAAAAAAAGGTTTCCCACGTTCTGCGCTAAGTTCTCAAAATAAATATGTCTCATGAATGTTAGCTGTTATTACCATGGTATGCCATTTCCCCCCTTAGCTGTGTGTTCTGTTTCACAACCAGGAGGATGTGCTGGCATGGACTCCACAACTAGCCTCCCCTTATTTCAGAGGCCAGCACGAGCCACATACCCAGGCCACCTGCATGTTTGACATCAGTCACAAAGTTTGGATTTCCACGAGCCCCCTTGAGGTTCAGATATTTAGCAGAATAGCTCAGGAAAGCACTGTGTTTGCCATAACATTTTTGTTCTAAAGGAGACGTGTGTGGCAAAGTCTGGGAGGAAATACAGAGTTCGGTGCCCTTTTTCTAATTAGTCAGTACATATATCATCCTTCTGACACTACAGTTATGTTCACCAACTGGAAGCTTCAATGAGCTCCAGAGTCCAGACTTTTTAGTGAGGCTTTATTGCTAAAATAGAACTGATTAAATCATTGGTATGGGATTGAACTAGGCCTCCAGTTCCCCTGCCATCCCTAGAGCAGTGCAGGCTCAGAGCCGTAACCTGCTCTAATCATTTGGTTGGACTTTGTGATAACCAGTCTCACCCTACAGCCATGTCCGGGTTTACCATTACAAAGATAATTTGTAACACTCAGGAATTTCAAGGGTTTTAAAGACTTCCTGGCAAGAACCTGAGACAAAGATCCAATGAATTTTTTGTTATACCACTCTGTAAATAAATTATGATTCTTTCAGGTTACTTGGTCTCTGAATCCTAGAGTTGAATACTACCAGTTATTCCTGTTCTTATGAAGATGTTTTTGATCATTACTACACATAGAACCTATATAATGCCGTCAAAGCTCTTTCTCAGAATATTTTACTTAATCATTAACAATTAACCTGTAGAAGTATATTTATTAAGTCAGTCTGTTTTGCTTGTGTGTTGAAAAGCAGTTTTTTATCAAAAAGGAATCGGGGGAAAAAAGCAACTATCATAATTAAAAATTAACATCATCAGGCAACTATGGATCAGAGACATTCTATAGGGGAGGAGGAGGGAGAAGGACCAGGACAGGGGTGGGAAGAGCACAAGGTTCTACGGTGATGGTGCAGAGGGGAATTGGCGGTGGGAATTTCACGGGAAAACCATACACTGTATGAAAATGAAGGCCGATAGAACGACTATATATATGAAAAAAAAAAACAAAAACCACACATGAAAATAAAGTATTAAGTGGGCCCTTCCTGGTGGCGGAGCGGGTTAAAGCACAGCAGTAAGAAGCTAAAGCCACTTCCGCATGAGTTCGATTCCCGCCAGCTCCAGAGGTGACCACATGGCGTGGCAGACCTCTTCTGACCTGCCCACTGCTCCCCTCAGCAGTGTGCCTCATCTATCTGCCTGTTCTGCTCCCGCTCTATGTGTGGTGAATCCTCTCACTGTCCCTGCACCTCTGGCTGTACCCCAGTTCTGTATGCATAAGTAAATAAATCTTAAAAAAAAAAAAAAAGATACCTGTGGTACTGAGTTGTCATGGAAACCATTACCTTTCTGAATGTGAGAGCTTGTTTAGGGACAGCTGGCATCAGGGCCTTGTCTGCCTTCAGCGTTTTTTTTTTTTTTATCCTCTTGCTGGCACTCGAATCTATGTGTTGGACTTTAGAGCTCTGAGCCAGGTATAGTGCTTTTTGGATATTGATTGAGTAGAAATTTCATGGTGTGGTTAATATTTTTTTCTACATTGTTGATATTTCTAGTATCTAGTTCTAGATACTTTTGTAAATATGTTGAAAATTTTGGAAGAGCAAATATATATTACCTATAGCACATTTTACCTGTCTTTCAGAATTTTCTAAGATTCTCTGCTTAATCTTATGCTACTTTAATTTTAGCATAAGATTAAAGGTTCTTAATCTGTAGTATTTTTAGTTTTTAAGCTTATTTTTATGCTTGCCTCACATATTCCTGTGGGAATGATGTTTTGCTATTATTTAGTCATCTTAATTCTGTTTACTAATGGCCTCCCTAAATGCAGATTAATGACTTCAATAGATTTTATTTTTTCTCCTTTTACATTATTTCTGTTCTGCCTAAATTATTTCAGGTATACTGCAAAGCAGAATGTTTGCGAATTTTCCTGCTGAACTGATGTTATCCTTGGCACTAGAACCTCTGACTGCCAATTTCCACAATTGGAGCCTCATTGTGAAGGTATCCCATTAATTACACAGTGACATTTACATGTTTAACTACAGTAGTAATTACATGTTTAACTACAGTAGTAATTACTTTGTTTTATTTTTATACTCTAGAATTTTACAAGGAATGAAAAATTGAAGACATTTTTTAATGTACTAACTACAAACACAGATGGCGCGATGGAGTTTGTGTCAACAGTGGAAGGTATATGTCACTACATATGTATGCTTTATTTCACTTATTATGCTTATATTTGTTAACTTTGACTTTATAGTTCTTTTACTAATAAAGTCATAACAATTTGGAGTCTGAAGATGGAAGTTAGGGTACTTTTGAAGACGAGATATATTTTGTCCATAAATCAGTTCTGGTTTACTGACTCATCTTTTAGAATATGGGAGAAAAAGGAAAGGTAAATAGTAAGGAAAGAGTGGATGGAGATGTAAATGGCGAGAATGAAGACATTCCTGATACTCAGTAATTTCCAAGGGTATTGGAATTTCTATCCTTTAAAGGTTGATTACAAGTACCTTGACAGATTCTCCTCCAGACAATAATGAAACCTGTGATGACATATAGGAAGACATCTTCCTGAATACATTGAGGAAGTGAAAAGAAGAGCCATACTCAGTCCAAGGCGTAGGTGAAGTACTTAAGCCCACTTGATTACTATACTTGGAGAACTTGAGATGAAGTTCTTAAGTTTAGGACTCCCATACATCATGATTATCTCTTGGAACAGGACCTGGAAGACTGTATGCTCAAATAAGGGTAAAATTATACCTGGCATCTTATCCTGCAGAATTGTAAGGAGAATTGTCTATCTTGAATCTTGGCACTAAGGCATGAGGATGATAAATAAATTTGACTATTCATAAGGACACACTGGTCTAATATGACCGGGATTATCTAACTGGGAAGTTCAACAAATCTCAATTTAAATATTTTGGGTTTTTTGGTGCCTGGCAGAAGCAAATATAAATAATTTTCTCTGGATGAACTTATATTTATTCATACTTCAAGGGATTTCCATATTTTCAGGTTTTAAGAAAAAAATGAGCAATTCATAGCCTCCCCCCCCCCCAAAATCACTAATGCACAAGGCAGCAAAGAAATGAGCTCTTACAGGGAAAGTAGTAAGTCTTTGAGTTGTTGAGACTGATTAGTGCTGCCTGAAAAGCCATGTTCCTAGAATGGAGTAAATTTGAATAGAGTGGAAGTAGTTCAAGTTATTCAAAGATTGGCATGCTGTCGGGGGATTGTAAGGGGTTAGAAACAATATCTAGGATTTCTGGGGAAGGTTGATCAACCCAGACCAAAGTGAATTTATCATCTGAGCTGATCATTTCCTCTTTCCCCAGTTACTCCACCTGTATTTTTCCCTCTAATATTTAGCATTGCCTTTCACCAAATCCTCTCAAGTTAGAAACCCGGGAACTGTCCTCTGCATTGGAAAAATCGGTGCCCATTTCAACTTTCCAAATCCTTCTTGAATATTTTATCTCCTCTCTATCTCACCTTTCTGCTCTACTTCAGCAATAGCCACCTATCCACATTGCCCATTTAGTAATCTCCAAACTGTTCCACAAATCCAGTTTCTACTTAGCCTTTGACGATCTCTCTGAAATACTAACTATATCATCTTATCTGAAGAAAACTCTTCAGTCACTCCTAAGCACTGGAAGGGTAAAGTCTAGATCTCTCTTTGTCTTCATTGCTGCCTGTATTGTGCATACTGTTGAGAACACCTAGCAATGCTTCTCGCCTCTGAAAAGCTTCCCTTCCTCTTCACTTCCTTCTCCTGACTAACTCGTGGTTAACTCTGAAGACTCAGAAGAAATGCCTACCCCTGATTCTTCCTTTCTACATCTAAAGTGCCCCTCCTTTAGACTTGTCTGCGCCACCTGGGAATATCTCCTTTTACATCATGTGAAACCTAAAAATACTTGCTATTTACTTTCTCCAAATGTTATATGCTCAGCCTTTTCTTTTCCTCATTATAACTGACAAAAAACACTCCAGAACCTGGCTTTTCAGATACCACTAATCAGCTTCAACAACTCAACGACTTACTACTTAGCCCGTAAAACATTCATTATAACTGACAAAAAATGCTCTGCCTTTCAGTGAGCTATGTGTAGCCGTTTATTTCGAAGTCATTGAGTCTGTGGATCTCCTGTTCTGAGCTTTTTGTGTAAACCCAGACAAGAGTGAAAGAGTGCAAAGTCGCAAGGAGGTTGTGCAGCAGGAAGGATGTTGTATATTCTATCTTGAGAGCTGCGACTGTGTCTTACTGTTGCTTCTAGTTCTTTGTGTAAACCCCAACAGATGTTGAATAAATGAATATTTAAATGAGAGTTTTGGGTTTGGAGGTTAGGAAGTCAGGTTCCATGTTTATTCTGTTTCTGGCTCTGTCCAGGTTCATTGGAAAATTTTACTATCTGAAAATTTTCTTCATACCTGCTAGGTGGGAACACTTAAGATACTCTGTTATTTGCATATTTTCTTTCCAATCTGGACACTTTTGTTCTAAATTGGTGAGGCAGGGATTGATGCTAGAATTGTCAGTCACCTATATTGGTCTTTGTTAATATAGTTCACTGGAGGAGTAAACCTTGTTTCTGAATGTCAGTAACCATCCAACCATCCAGCCTTCTGGTAAATGCTTGTTCTATTTTATCACATAAGATATTTCTTATCCCAAAGATTACTTTTCATATCTCAAAGAAATAAATTGTAGAAACAGCCTTTCAGTGAGCTATGTGTAGCTATTTATTTCCAAGTTATTGAATCTGTGGAGCTCCTGTTCTGAGCTTTTTGTGTAATCCCAGACAAGAAAGAGAGTGCAAAGTCGCAAGGAGGTTGCGCAGTAGGTCGGGGTGTTGTAGAGTGACTAGAACAACTTACTGGCAGACTTTTGCCTTTTGTGGATCCCATGAAGACTAGATAAAGTGTTTCCTTCTTGGGACATGGTTTCTAGTGAGAGAGCCTCATGGGATATGTGACAACACTTTTTCTCCTAGACATCTCTACTTTTAGCTAATTTGCTTAATTTCTCCAAGTACCTTTGAGTGGTAGTCGTGATTATAGCATCAAAAAAAAAAAAAACAAGAGAAGGAAGTGTTTTTTGCCAGTTATAATGAGGAAAGTAAAGGCGGAGTATATAATATTTGTAGAAAGTAAATAGTAAACATATTTATGTTTAACATGTATGTAAAAGTAGAGGTCTAATACAATGATCCCTGGATTCCTATATCTAAACTTCAACAATCCAACATGTATTTTTTTCTTTTTTTTGCACTGGATTATTTTTTGAAGCAAATATAAGGCTCATATCATTTATATAATAATATTTAAGAATCCTATCAATAATGGAACTATATTTTCAAAACCATTTCATACAAAAATTAAACTTCTAAAATTATTTTTAAACTTGGCAATATGAAGTCATCATAAACCATTTTATAGACTGAAAGACAGGCAGTTTAGGCTGAGACAAGATGACTTATAGAAATAGACCAAAAGATTCTGGTATAGTTCTTTTCATATGAATAAAACATAATAGGAGGAAATGAAATGTGGTATAAAGTAGAAGAGGAAAAAGAAACCATGTAAAAAACATGAATTACTAATCAATTGTGCACTTGACTTTTGAACAGAGGTGTATTCAAAGGCTTAATATTTTACTATGCTGTGATTACCTAGTCAAGCACATCATATTACAAATCTTAAAATACAGTGAATATTTTGTGGTGAGTTTTCACATTGACTGTGAACTGAAATTCTTAATTTTGTGTCAGAGTGCACACAATTTTACTTTGTCTGGCACGTGATAAAAAATATTTTAGCTAGAACAGAGGACAACTTAATTAGAAGCAAGATCTTAGGTCATGCTTACTGCCTAATCCTAATTAGTTTTTGTTCTTTATGCAGGATACAAATATCCAGTATATGGCGTCCAGTGGCATCCAGAGAAAGCCCCTTATGAGTGGGGGAAATTAAAAGGCATTTCCCATGCACCCAATGCTGTGAAGGCTGCTTTTTATTTAGCAGAGTTCTTTGTGTCTGAAGGTAATATGTGGGCATATAATCCTCTCACTCTAATGCAATTCAAAAGGAAATTGTCTTCATCTGAACTTTTGTATACTCTTTTGTATAGGTCTTGAGAGAATAGGCATCCAAATACAACTAAGACAGTTATTTCAGTAAACAGTATTGTATGCTTTTAAGTGGACTGACTTCTTGAATGACAGTATAGAAAATGTTCAATTTATTTTTTCTTTGTTGAATTTCTTTTAGAATTCTTCCCTGTTTCTCTCTTCACCTTTTGCTATTGCTTAGGAATAATGCTTTCATGATAGCATTATTGAGATAGTGTTTTTCTGCCAAGACAGCTACATTAATTGAATTGAACTGTAATCATTGGTCTGATTTTAAGGCTGCCTATCTGTAGTCATTGATTTACTAGAGAAATTTTAAAAGCATGTCTGCCTATATGTGATGAAAATATAGAAACTTATATGCAGTGTTCTGTTTGTGGCTAAAATTGAGAATTGGTTGTAGATGCTTATATTTTAGTTGCCTAATACAGGTGTAAGGCAGCTATAAACTTGTGAAGGAAGGAATGGGGCATCAGCCTTTTGGGGGGCAGGACTATTTGAAACTAGTGAGCCTTGTTTGTATCCTATCTCCAACTTTGTCCTGGTATTTTTCAATCATCCTATCCAGATTCCATGTAAAATACTTCCTCCTGAGTGGTTCACTTCGTTGATTATTATGCTCAATTGATGGGATTATAATGAATAACATAGTACTACCAATTTGAAAGTTACCAAGATGTTAAATAGGCCTGTTGTGATACTCATTTCACAGTGTGTTGCATCACTAAGTTGCACACCTGAAATGAAAATAATGTTGTATGTCAGTTATAGATCAGTTAGAAAAACAAAAACAAACTATGCTCAGATATATGGATAGTTTCATAATGAAACCTCAAATTTTTTTTTTTTTTAAAGGAAATACACTCATGTGCCATTATCAGTTCCAGGAAACATTTCCATGTCAGACATGTAAGAGTAATGAGAAAAGGGCCTCCCTGGTGGTGCAAGGGGCTGAGTCTCAGCATCACGATGCTAACAGCAGCCCCTGCGCAGGAGTTCAGTTCCGGCCAGGGAGCTGACCCACAGGGCACAGCAGGTCTCTCCTTTTGCATACACTGCTCCCCTCAACAGTTATTTTAGTAGATCCGGGTGTTCTGCCTCCCACTGAATCCTGTCACCCACTGCGTCTCTCTCTGGCCTACACCCCAGTTCTGGTATGCATAAATAAATTATTAAAAAAAGAGTAATGAGAACAGTGGTGGGCAGTTGCAGTAGTTACATGACAAAGCTATTTATTTGGTCTTTTTTCTCCAATGCCGTGGAAGCCTATATTTGCTTTACCTTGGTTTAGGAGAAAGTCTAAGCCTTTATCCTTCTTAAAACCAAATTTCAGCCATACTAACTTCATTTAGCCTCCTTGTGTTTCTTATTTCTATTGTATCTGTGGGAAATGCTGCAGCTCTCCCCCTTGTGTGGGCTTTGCCAGCTTTCCCGTCCTCTGTCTTCTGGAAGGATACCAATGGAAAAGACTAACAGTATTATAGTGTGAATTCCTTGTGGCTACTAGACCGAATTCTCGAATCCTAAGTCCTTGCCCTACTTAGTTTCCGGCTCTTCATTAGTCTTTCATGCAATAGGCACTTATTATTGCTGCATTGGCTTTGGTGTGGGACAAACATGCCTTCTGTATCAGTAGGAATCCATACTTCTCATGGTGCTGCTCTGTTTGGGGGAAATGTTCTCCTTCAGGTGCCATTTTCCTTCTTTTTTTTTTTTTTTAAAGATTTTTTTTATTTATTCATACAGAACTGGGGTACAGGCCAGAGATGCAGAGGGTGAGAGGCTTCACCAGAAACAGGGTGGGGAGCAGAACAGGCAGATCGAGAAGTACACTGCTGAGAGGAGCAGCGGCGGGTCAGGAGAGGTCTGCCGCGCCATGTGGATCTCCTCCGGGGCAGGAGGGGATCGAACTCATGTGGAAATGGCTTTAGCTTCTCAGTGCAGTGCTTTAACCCCCTGCGCCACCAGGGAGGGCCACCATTTTCCTTCTTAATGACACTGACTACAGGAAGAAATGTTATAAAGAAACCTTTAAAATATTTTCTCTTTTTACAAAATAATTCTCTTTTTTTCCTACAGCTCGGAAAAACAATCATCATTTTGAATCTAAGGCTGATGAAGATGCCGCTTTAATTTATCAGTTTCGTCCTACTTATACTGGAAACATTTCTTCGTTTCAGCAGAGTTATATATTTGATTGAAAACCTTAAATGTATTGATAGGAATTTTTGATAAATCCATAATTAAAATGTTACAATGACTTGTCACTCTTGGCAATAACAGAAAGCCACAGAGATTTCTTTTCTGTGATGTCATTGGCTCTGATTCATCATTCAGTATAATTGGCTACTTATATCACAAAGAGACAGATAATAATAATCAGTGATTTTATTTTTTCTTATTGATTAAAAAAATGCCACCACCTACTTGTCTACCCATAGTTGCCAAATACTTTTTAAAAATCTTACCTCTGGTTCACTCTGATATCTACCTCTTTTGAGTCCCAGGAGTAGTGTGTGTGTGTATGTGTGTGTGTGTGTGTGTGTGTGTATGTGTGTGTAGACACATGTAGACATATTTCCTTTTCTGCTATTTGACTCCACAATTAAAGTGCACACCTCCTGAAAGCAGAGCTTGTGTCCTGAACTTTTTATCTTCCATGATTTCTACCACAGTAGGTCTCAAATAAATGCTTTTGAATATTTGTGATTGAATTTTTTTCCCCCATGGAAAATAAATTTGAAAGCTGCTATACATTTAGCTGGGTGCATTTAACATATTTCCCCATCTCTGTTTTCCTCCTCCACATCCATACAGCCTCATAAGCTGAAATTTAGGAAGTCCTTGAGGATAATCAAGTAACTAGAGAGAAAGGAGATTTTTTGCCCTGTTTCTGATGGACAGTGTGAATGCCTCTGTTCTCCTTAATCCTTCAGAGCTGCTGCTAGAAAAGTACAATCACAGGAAACTGAATGCATAGGCAAGATGTTGGAGGAGATGAATGATTTTATAAGCAGAATGAGAACAATCTGCAGAAAACGGAGGGAAACATAAGCTTTGGGTAATAAGGACAAATAGAACACAGAAATTGAAAGGAATTGATACAGTCAGCCAAAAAAGGGCTTCCATAGAAAAGTGATATTTAGTTTCTGCCTGTGAATGTAAGTGCTTGGCTAAGACTTTTATTGTCAAGTGTGCCATTCCTGGCATACCATTTCATGTTTCTTAGCACTGGAAGAAAGTAGTGACCCTGTTCCTAATTCATACTGCCAGCGCTCTTCCCAACTTACTTGGGAAGCACAGAATTGAAAGACAGAACTTGTCTCTAAAGTTTCCAATAACAATTCTGACCACATCATTACTCAAGACACTGCATCACCCATCCTGCACGTGAATATTGGCTTCTAATTGCTCCCAAAGGTTTTCATTGCATTTCACTGATGATGTAAACCAGTGCAAGAAAATGTAACCCATCATTTGTTTTCTACTAAAGTTTTCTGTTTTTTTCAACCATGTATGTTTAAAATTTTTACTTATTTATGTGTACAAGAATGGGATGCAGGCCATATGTTCAGGGGGCTAAGTATTCACCAGAGACTGAGTAGGGAACAGAACAGGCAGATCAACTGAAATACACTACTGAGGGGAGCAGCAGAGAGACAGGAGAGGTCTGCTGTGGACCACCTCCCTGGCTGGGGATTGAACTGGTACCACAGTGGCAGTGAATAGGTTCATAGTATTACACTTTAACCCCTTGCACCACCAGGGAGGCTCCAAGCATGTGTTTTTTGAAGTCTTATGTCAGATCCCATCCTATCGTGTCCCATCCCACCCTACCCACCCCACCCCATCCCCATCCCCATCTCACTGTTGATAACACCCCTGCCTTTCACACAGGAACCTGCCTACCACCTGCAGGAACACTGGGCAAGGGGCCAGGGCACTAGTAAGTCCTCAAGCAATGAATCTCTTGTCTAGCCTGTTTTAGACATGGCCAGGGAAGACTTACAAAACTATGTGAGTAGAAACAAGAAGGACATAGATTAGAAGTGTCAATGTTTTTACAGTGAAGAAAGCCCGAAGAGACACCTGTGGATCCTGTGGAAGGAGCAGAGTGACCATCTTGGGTGCCAATGACAGGAAGCATGGAGGCTTCCTGCCACCCACTGACTTCACATGTTATAAACCAGGTTGCTCTGTAGTTAAGAATTGGGTGGCTAAGAGCCAGTAAAATAGTCTATAGATGGGGCTGAAACCCAAGGGTCAGTGGGAAGTCTCCAGTATTTCAGCTCCCTGAACTTGTCCTGTGCCTATCATGAGAGGAACTAAAAATCTGTATGTCAACACTATTCTGGCTGCCTAATTTTCTACAGTCCCATGAAAGAAAGTGTTTGCCCAGTGACCTTCCTGGAACTGGAGTCCAGTCAGGAGCTGCGCTGTCCCACAGACTTGTTTACAGTCAACCATACAGAGTCCTAGTTTCTTGGGATGTCTTGAGCCCACGAATAGAGTAGCATTGGATAGCACCTCGAAGGAGAGATGGTAGTCAGGACCCGTCCAGATGTGATTGCCTATGGGCATTGCCCATGTAGCTCTGCCAGTCTTGATTCGTCACTACTGCAGGGGTACTCGAGAGATGTCGAAGCAGGTACTTTCTGTGACCTGGACCAGGTCTGATTGTGAGATACCTCACCCAGGTAGCACTTCTAGCCCTGACCAGTCCCAGGCACTATAAAGAGAACTAGACAATTTGAAGTTTCTCCAAAGTGAGGTCCCCCATGGCTAAAATCTAGAGCAGGTGCTCTGCTTGGCCTGAGTTACATGTCTCTCTGCCTAACTCAGGAGGATCTGTGACAGCTGCTACATAAGAGAAAGAAACACTAATAAATATAAGGAGCTTCGTTTCTAAATGCAAAATATGGGGCCCATATCTACACCATGGTCCTCTTTGGAGTCCCAGGACTTGTGCCAGTTCATGGCTCCAGTGAGCTACTGCTGGGCTTGGTTTGGTTTAGAGCAGAGCTTTTCAATCTTGTATGTGAGTAGGTCTTTTTGGGCTGGAAGACCTGAACTCCCTACCAGATCCTAACTGATGCTGACCCTACCAGCCCACAGACCCCATTTTGAGTGTCAATGATCCCCATTTCTTTATTGACAGGAAGGGAGCAGAGGTTGAAAGACATGTGATTATGAGAAGGCAAACAGAGAAAGAAGAGAAGATTGTGAATGTTTGAGGCTTGCTTTCTAGATGTCAGAGACAGTCATTATCCTTTCCCAGCCTCCAGCTGATTTCCATGTCTAAGGAAGAGAATTTTGGAGAACAATTACCAAAGTTCTTACCTCCATCTTTCCCTATTCTCTTATCTGCATGGGATATCTCACATAGAATGGGGATGGTGGAGCTAAAACAAAGGCCTGTCCTTCACGTGGCCAGGTACTTCTGGGTGCCAATGGTTTATATAACTTGTGGCTTGGAACAAGATGTTTAATGAAGGGATGACGACTGTCTCCTCAATACTTTGTCAGGTTTAGTTTTCATGCTTGGAAGTTCCTATAGCTTCCACAATGATAGTGATAACTCAAACCGGTATTCAAACCCAGTGGCCAGTACAAGGTAGGCCCTCAGTGGGTGGCCCTTTATCTTTCCTCCCTTCTCTGTTCAATGTAAGAGCCCTGTGTATATTCTTACCATTAGAATAACAAGAAAAACACACTTCTCACAGATGGGAAGTATTAAGAACAAAAGGTCTTGGATCCTTAAGAACAGAAATCTTGTTATTATTTAGCTTGTAATAATTATTGCACTTAACAAATTGATTTCAAAAATGAATAAATCTGTTATTCCATAGGTTTTCAATCCATTAGCTTGTTAATGGAAGTTTTGCAGTAACATATCAGGAACACTAGATGTCAGGAGAGAACCAACTAATCTAATGTTAAACCATTCAGTCATTCAGAAGCACCAGTTTTTGGAGGTTGTGAAAAACCTAAAGAGCATTCAATAGTACAATTATTATAGTTATTTAAACATTAATGGTTGTAGAATCATAGATTTATAGCTAATACTAGGTGCTTCATACTCTGATCTATGAGAGGACCTTGAGGAATATGATTTTTAAAAAATGGAAATAATATTTTGTCGTCTATTAAGGCCAGGTACTCTCATAGAGGTAAATTTGTAGATCAAACACTAAATTACAGTCCTTTTTCCTCTGCTGTAAACTGAGGGCAATGTGTGAGTTAGATAATGTTTCCTGGGTGTGTAAAGAACCAGAGCCTCACAGAAGGAGAGATGTGTCTGGGAGAAAGGCAGGGTAGGCACAACATCCATTAAGAAGTGTTCCTCGAATGTCTAGAAGCAGCTCAAGGGGGCTGAGAAGCACTTAAAGCAAATACTGACCTGTTTTGTAATTTCTTCTTAAAGATTAAAGTTTCTCACGTTAAAGTACTCTAAGTTTTTCAGACTTTTCCTTTTAAATTTAAGGAAAATTTTATAGTATTTTTTATTGAACTTTTTCATTTTTGCATGTTTGTTTTGCATAACTTGGCATGTTTTCAGGTTTCTGACTCTCTGATATTTATTATAATGGATCATAAACTGATTTAGTTGGTTTCATACTATAGGATGTCTTTAAAAGAAACTTTTATACTTTAAAAGAAACTGTTAATACTTTACTATAGCTCCACATTCAAGTTAATTCATCCTGGAAATTTTTGTGGGAGAAACTCAAGTGTTTGAGAGAATCAGAGAATCCCAGAATGGAGTGGCACTTGGATGATGACAGGGCACTGTGTGAAGATTCCGTATTTCTGTTAATGAAACCTAACCGTATTTGCTTGAGGTGGGTCACATGGTCCCTGAACTATATTGAACTGTTTGCAAATTAAGAATCACAATTCAATTCTTGTCCAGTTTATATGTCTTTACCTTCTTTCAGCTTTCCAGCAGGATAAGGATGAAAAGTGTTCTTGCAATCAGCATGCCCAGGATCGAGTCTCTGCCACTTCCCAGCTGTGTAATGTTGGGCAAATCATGCACTTGCTAGTAATGGCAATTTCTATTCACACTTTGAATATGTTATATACTTCAATATTGTCTTTCAAGTTATTTAATCTCGAGCAGAAACTTTTCTTTCATCTCTTTGATAGCCCAAAGAAATGTATTCAATTTTTTATAAAGTTATATTAGTGCAATAAAAGTTTTAAATTTGCACCATCAGAACAGTGCAAATTTTACTTTGCAGTAGTTAAAATTATCCCTTCTTCAATTTTGTGAAATAAATTGAAGTGAAGCTGAACATTTACATTTTATCTTCTCTAGTCAAAAGATGTAAATTACTTGGTTCTTGGTTCTTCCTAAGGAGAAGGAGCTAACAATATATGCAAATCTTTTGGCATAATTACAGATGATGATTGACTCCAGTTTTGAGAGAAATAGACATCTAAAACAAAATTTAAACTAAGGGTAGAGTTTAGAAGGCTAACAATGATGATAGATAAAAACCGAACTAAAATGGGCCCTCTCTGATGGGGCAGTAAGTTGGAGCACAGCACTAAGAAGCTAAAGCCACTTCAGCATGAGTTCAATCTCCACCCTGGAGGTGATCCACATGGTGTGGCAGACCTCTCCTGACCTACCTCCTGTCCCCTCAGCAGTATACTTGGTCAATGGGCCTGCTCTGCTCCCCACTCTGTC